CACAAAGACAAGATGGGCCCCCACTTGCTTGGCCTTCTGGAAATATCTGAAGACCCAGCTCTGCTGACTCACAGAGATACACAGAGCCATGGGACTGGTTAGTAGCTTGAAGGCCCTCACCTGCCTTTTAATTTTGAACTTTGAATATTTTATTCTTGTTTTAATCTGCTTTCTATTATAATATTTATATGGTTTCTAAATTTGATAAATATAAATATGTGCCCCTAGGCACAGGGATGTCAAACTCAACTTCATTGAAGGCCACATCAGGATTTGGTTTGACTTTGGAGGGCTGGGTGGGGATGTGGCCATGGTGGGCGTGACACAGGACTGCACATCTACAGACATGGTTTTATAAACTTATAAAAATAGGGAGGCATACATTTCTGTGATTTTGTTTTTTTTAATACTTACTTGATCTACTTGATCACCTTATGAGACCAGATCAAGAAACTGACTCCATAGGAAGACTAGAACTATAAATTATTGACGTAGGCTATAGTAACAAAATCCTGCATGCCTGAAAGGTAAAATATTTTATTTTTCCTCCCTTTTATAACCTTCTTAGTCAAGGATGGGCTGCTGGACTACTCTGGAGGCCCCGTTTTGGGCATGGAAGGCCACCTGGACCACTGTGGAGCCCATGTTGGGCCTGGAAGGCCTCCTGGACCACTCTGGAGGCCCCATTTTGGGCCTGGAAAGCCTCCTGGACCACTCCAAAAGCCCCGTTTTGGGCCTGGAAGACCTCCTGGACAACTCCGGGGGCCAAAAATGGTTGCGGGGAGGCACGCGCCCCACACGCGCCCCATTTTTGCTAGCAGAGGCACCGCGGGCTGGTCCTTTGCTATTTCCAGATGGGCCCGGTGGGCCAGATCTAAGCATCCCATGGGCCGGATCCAGCCCACAGGCCTTGAGTTTGATACCCCTGCCCCAGCATAATTGTGCAAATTAGAGTAATTATGTAATTCAGTTGCATCAGTTGCAACCTGAAGGAATGTGAATCTGGCTTTAGGAGAAAGGGGAAGAAATCAGCAAATTGTTAAGGGAGATACAGAAAAGATTATTCAGCACTGAGAATGAGAAAAACATTCCTTCAGTGCTGTTCCCCCTGCCCTCTACATCTCTGTTTCCTAAACTGCTGCCAATATTGATGTACAATAAATTCCAGGATGCAAAAGATTCTTTGCTTCCTGCACATTGGACTTCGCACATTAGCTTGGCAAACTACTATCCAGTGTTAGTTGCCAAACAAAAACAGGACAGGGATCACTTTACGATGAATTTTGTAAAGTGCAGCAGCAGGATGTGACTATGGTACCGGAGTTGATATGAAGGAATGGCTTTGGAAATGAGAAAGGGATGAGTGAATCTTTAAAAAAGGACTGGTAGAAAAGATTACTCCATCGTGAAAAATAAAAAAGCATGAGAAAGAAACTCAAGATAAACCTACCTTGATTCTGTTTGGTATCAGATAGTGCAGATAAAAATTGGGGCAGGCTTTATTCTACCCTATAACAATAAAAACATTCCTAGACCTGCCATGCCTATTTCTTAACACATGGCATGACTCATGTGTATTGCATAATTTACATCTTTTGCATGATGGCAATATGATGCCTATGATTTTGTCTGAAAAAGAAAAATGGTATTGGCATTGCAGAAATGTTTTTTTATTTGGTTATTTTGAATTTGCAGAATTTACAAATTTGGAGACAAATACAGCTCCAGATTAACTACATAATTCAATTCTCTAAAAGACCATAACAGCTTCTTTTAATAAATTTTATTGTGAATCAAGTTTAGAAGAACTATCTTCTAATCCATTCCATTATGGAATTAGTTTTTTAAGCAGCAAACATTTCTTGAAGAACTAAAACTCCTGTCTTTAATTATTGTTTCATTACTGCTTGTTTTTTAATGGCAACCTCCCAAATAAAGTAAGATTTTTAAAAAAGGAAAGGAAAAAAGCAAAAAGCAAAATCTTTTTAAAACTTCCAAAACTATGCTTACGGGGAAGAAATAGTTCTGGAGTCACAAGATTTCTTTTAACAATGTTTAACATTTGGGGCCAAAGGGAACAACCACTGAGATACAAGTTCAGCAGTTATATGATGGGCTGCAGCAAGGATTTATAGTTGCAACATTGTGTCAACATTGTTAAAACAAATAATAAACATATGGTTCTTTCAAACACAGCTACAAACAAAAGAATTACAGGGTAGACAAACTGATACTGATCACTGTAGGGAACCTATAAATAATATAGCTGACCAATCATCCTATTCAGACTGTTTCTAACTCAGGAAAGAAAGAACATGGCTTGCTTTTTGATTTCCCTTGCACATTTTTTTTTTTACTTCCTGTGAAAGTCAATACTGAATTACCTACCTAAATTCATTCTGCATGTTTTCTATTTTTCCATCAAACTATTCTTTATATTTTTGCTTCATGCCTCATTTTTCAAAAGCTGGTTGAACTGTTGTAAGTAACACAAAGATAACTGAAAGTAATGAGATTATCCACTAGCTGTGATCCTTTTTGGTTTGTTTCATAGGCATGTTGTGGGTTAGTTCCTTATGGACATATTTCCAAATGCCTGGTAAGTATTGTGCTAAGAGCAATACTTTGACTTTCATTTTTAGATATAATAGACAAACAATGTTGGGTCACTGTTTCAGAGAAATTTCCTTACCAGATTCCTCAGCGTCTTCACCAATTGCAGAGCTCCTAAGTGTACTTGGAGAGGTCTTAAAATTCAGGAAAATACTCAGCTCATGTTGAATTATATAGCATAGCCCAACATCAGGAGTTGATCACAGGATATGTTTTATGACACTTTGTATTACATCATAAAATGCTTCATGATCATTTTTTGTGTCATAAAATGGTTTACACTATTTGACAAATTTCAATCCATGGGAGACCTGAGTCACAGATTTTGGATGCATTATGTAAATTAGCCCATTTGAGGTACCTTGATTTTGCCCTACAAGTGCACCATTTCGCATAGTTAAAGGTTACAGACACAAGTGTTTTAGTAGTACATAGATAGAAGTACCACAGCCACAGAAAATCCAAGCAAATTTAGCTAATTTTGGCTTTCAGATGGGAAAATAGCTAAAGGGAGCATGAGCTGATGTAAAATGTAAATACATAATAGAATGCTGGATCGTGACATTAACTAGAGTACCCAAAATATTGAAATCCCCATTTCTACACTAAATATGGGCCTCTCGTATTCCGTGACACATTTTGTTGAACGGTATTAAATGTTCATTTATTTTTGTATGCAATTATGCATTTCTGTTGAATTCCCCAACTTTTTAGAGCTTATTCTGACTGGGCAGGAAGAGTGCAAGGGGTCATTGTTCTGCCCAAGTGTAGTAATATGTGGGAATGACCTTGGAGGAAAAAAAAAACCCACAGACTAGAAAACTATAGTGTAAGTGGTATCTCAGTCCGCAGAAGCAGAGGGGGGGCATGGGAAGTGTTTCAGAAGGGACCCTTTCTAGTTTTCTGGAGAGTGAAGGTAAAAAAGGAGAAGAGTTGAAAGATTCTCTTAATGTATACTTACAATAAAAATAGAGCTAATATTCATTGGTGCGCTTCTTTTCTGGCCTATCTCAAAGAGCTAATATCAATCTTGCAAGCCTCTCTCCTTTACTCTTACTCTCCAGAAAATGTTTCCCTCTGCTCCTGTGGATTGGGATAGCTTTTGCATGATGGTTGTCTAATCTGCAGCTCTTCTTCCTGTCTCCCAAGATCATTCCCACATACAATTGTACAAACTTTCTCCAGACATGGGAACATTTGCTATCTTTAAATTTTAGGATGATTATTCCTCACTAGTTGCTGTATTAGCAGCTGTGGCTACATAACTTGTATTTGCATCAATAGACCTTGCATAATAACATTAGGACCGCTTTATATTTTAGTGCTTTGATTCTGGGAACCTACTCCCTTGTACAGGTAGTCCCCGACTTACAACAGTTTGTTTGGTGTCTATTCGAAGTTACAACAGCACTGAAAAAGGGGACTTACATTTTTTACACTTACAACCGTTACAGGATCCCCAAGATTACGTGATCAACATTTGGATGCTTGGATGATTCATATTTATGATAGTTGCAATGTCCTGGGATCATGTGATCAACTTTTGTGACCTTCTGACAAGCAAAGCCCATGGGGATGCTAGAACCAATTAAAATCCATATTATTAACAACTGCAGTGATTCACTTAACATCTGTGGCAAGAAAGGTCATAAAATGGGACTCACTTAATAAATGTTTCACAGCAACAGAAATTTTGGGCTCAACTGTGGTTGTAAGTTGAAAACTGCCTGTACATTTGGACACCCCAGTATTTGTAGATAGAAAAGAAATTCTCAAATAAAGGTAATGTTGGAATACTAATGAATCAATAATTAAATAGCAAACGTAAGATTTCCTGAATGGCTGTCAGATTCATAATATCCAAGCAAATAAAACCAGTGGGCTGCATTAACAAAAGCAATTGGTTCTTTGTACTTTGCATTTATCATACCCCATGTAGAGTAGCATTTCCAATTCTGGGCACTGCATTTTAAAAAGAACAACGAGAAGCTAGCGAGAGTTCAAAAGAGAGCTTCCAGGATGATAAGAAATCTAGATTCCAAAGGGGAATCAATCAAGTTGAAATTAAAAGAAAGGAGATCTAAGATGAACATTAGAAAGAATTTCCAGATGCCTTTTAAAGTGCCTTGACCAATAGTGAATTCCCTTTTCCTGGAGATTATCAGATAAGGGAGAACCACCTGTCAGAAATGTTTATTTCTGTATGGAACAGAAGGATGAACAAGATACCAAAAAACCCTGTACCTTTCATAACACGGTAATGTTTATTTTCTTGGGAGAAACTGTAGGAAAAATTAGCTTCTGCCACAATAAACCCATAATAAATAAATGTTTAGACAGCCTTTGATATCTCATACGTTATGTTAGGATCCCTTTAACCTACTTACCTTCATAGTAAGTCCAGTGAGGAAAGTAACTAGATAATGTCATGGGATTTTCACTTGAAGGTATATCATTGTTCTTTATTTCTCTTAAATTATCAACTTCCTGAGGATTGGTCAAAACTGACAGAGTTTCAGATGGAGAGGCATTTTTCCAGAAATCTTCGGTTCCTAAAGTTTCAATTTCCAGTCTCTGTTTTTTATCCAAGTAGATATCTTGGAGATCTGAATTCCAAATTGCTTTGAATGATGCCTTATGATCCTCTGGGAACTTAACTACTTTTGTGATTAACTTCCCATTAGCTAAACTATCCACTCCATCTGGTGTTGTATTTTGAGAACTGCAATTTATATGAAAAGACACTACTGACCGATGCATTTTTTGAGTATTAGTCTGAAGTTGATCAACAGGTACCAAAAGAGACTTGTCTACGTAATATATTGTTTTTGGACACTGTTGGGAAATAGTGAGGTGAACACTTGACGTGAAAGAAAGAGGTGTCTGCTTCTTATGGGTGTTATCTGAGGGGATCATTCTCTTTGGGGAGTTAGAAATCCAGTCAGATTGCCTCTTGCAGCTCTGCAGACGAGACTCAGAATCTGTTATTTCATTGACACTTCGATTTTGGTCATTTGCTTGAGAATGCAAAGACTGGGAGAGTTTACGTAAGCCAGTTACACCTGAAGTGGGAACCGTTGTTATTAGCTGCTTATTTTCTTGGCACTCCAAGCAAGAAGGGTCAAAAGTATTTGCCTGAATGTTATTGTTTGAAGGTGGAACAACTCGCTTAGCAGTGATTGTAATGGAAGCAAAACCTTTCTTCTGGTTATGCCATGATTTCTCTTCTTTGCTATTAAATACATTGTCCTCTGAAGTTGTCTGAAATCCTAATTTTCTTGGAAGAAATATGAATGCTGTATTAATGTTGACTGAGTTATGATTAGCCAAAGATTGGTTCATGTGATAAACATCAGATTGGGTGATTACAGACTGCACAGGGAAAGCAGACTTATTTTCTCTTGATTTATTTTCATCAATCGTTTGTGAAATGAGAATAGATGAAATCATTTTTGCATTTTGTAATGGAAAGGAGCCCTGCAGAGGAAAAGATCCAAATAAGTAACATGCTATAAACTGGAAACATAGAGGAAAAAATGTACATAGAAAAAAAAATACCTAGAAAAGAATTTTGATAAAATCTACACTAGTTTTACATTGTGCCTCGTTATATATTTCTTCCCCCAGTTCGTTTTATATAATTTCTAAAACAGAAATGTGCAAAACCCACTTACAGAGGCCTATGAAAGGAAGAATGAAAATACAATTTTATGTGCAAATTACACATTTCATAGAACTGTTATTTTGAATGATTAATTGATCCGTTCAGTTGGATATGCAGCCCTGTGTTTGTTTAACAATGTAAATGCCAATAGTAACTGTCAATTGCAGATTATAATCTATACCACCCTGTGTTTTCATGCCGATGTACTGAAATATTAAAGCACTTTAAGCACTTACAGCTCCAAGTGCCTTACAAAATGAATTACGTACGTAGGTGGGCTGCTGTTTTCAATGCAGCATTTTTATGGAAGCTGGTTCAATGCAGTTGCATAAAAGCATCAAGAATGACTCGCAGAGGAAGAAAGAGATACAGTTCTTCTATTGTGCTTGTAAAAATATATAGATCCTTTACTGTTTATCACATTTATCGCACACAAATGATGAGCAGGGGGATATATGCCCCAAACCTTTTTAACATGATTTAAAATCAGTTTTCTAACTATGACAACCCCCGTGCTTGATCTAAACAAAGCAAATTACTTTAAAACTATTTTCTGTATTTTTCTATATTTTCATGAGCTGCACACATTTGTCCTGCAATGGAAAATAAAGTTAACTGGGTATAACATCAAATTTCATCCAACTAGGATTAATACAAACTCAAATTGAAGAATTCTTTTTATGGAGTATAAATTAAAATTTCTACAACAGCAATCCGAAAGGTGCCTTTTTCAAGAGGCAACTGGACTTTCTGTTTTTTCTTTGAAGACATTTCAATTCTCATCCAAGAAGCTTCTTCAGCTCTTGGATCAGAAGTGAAATGTCTCCACAGAAAAACCAGAAAGTCCAGTTGCCTTTTGAAAAAGCACCTTTGGGACAACCATGACCTGGATGACTGAGAATCTCCATAGCATGTCAGCCCCTGAGTCGCCAGCCATGCCGTGGCTGCCATTAGGGCGGGGAAGGAGAGCCATCCACTCTTGGACTCCCAGAGGTCCAGAGGCCTACTACAGTATTTGGTGCAGTGGAAGGAGTACCCCCTGTCAGAAGCCTTGTGGGTGAGAAGCGAGGATGTAAGAGTATCCCGGTTGGTGAAATAGTTTCATCGACAAAACCCAGGCAAACCAGGCGGAGCGGGGGCTGCTACCCAGGAGATGTCTCATGATGTCCTTTGCCTTCAGGTGTCATCCCCGTGGTAGGGGGGCCACATGTCAGCCCCTGGGTTGCCTGCTGCGCCGGGGCTGCCATTCAGGCAGGGAAGGAGAGCTGCCAGCTGGGACGTGTGTCCACGCCTGCTGAAGACCACACCCGCCGAATGCCCGACAGATCGCAAGCTGCACAGCTGAGCTGCACATTTCATGCCATGGGCCCTCTGCTGAGCTCTGGGGAGGCCAAGCACATCCCCGAACAGCATGCCGCATCTACGGAGCCTGAAGGCAGCCAGATGGGCCATGGTCTTCATAAACAGCTGATGCGCGGCAGAACAGATGGGTGGTGGAGCACACGCAGGCACACCGGAAACAAGCATGGTGTGCCGGATGGAAAGCTCTGCAGCTGCAAGGACACTGGCAAAGTGGCGGCACGTGAAGAGTGGGAATTATATGGGGTGGGGCCCAGGGAGTGGAACTGCAGGGGTGGAGTAAAGGGTATTTAAGGGATGGAGGGTTAAACCACAGTAGTACTGACTTTTGTTTTCCTTATTTTTTGTCACTCTGTGCTGGGTTTCCAGATTGCCAGATAAAAAGTACTCAATTAACTTTCTTGTCTGCATTTCTTGTCTGCTAAATGCCGGAATGTGACATAGACATTTACAACAGCAACAGAGTCTATTATTAGAATACTAGCCTTTATTTAAATGTATATTGTACAGGTTGGTATGCTTATTTGTGCCATGCCAATTTTCAATTTCTGTTGGTCAGCTAGTACTAAATATTTATATATCCCCCCCAATCCAGAATTATACCATTAGACTCCGGACTAATCTAAGAACAAAGCAATAAAAAAAATTTTAAAAATGGGAAAATGAATTTTTAGGAGTCGTTCACTGTTTTCTATGAAGATTTAAAATTCAGCAATGCTTTGTTTAAAGTAATTGTGTGCCCTAGAATAAAATCTAGGTGAAAACTTTTTTGGTTCTTTTAAAATTACTTCAAATAAATGCTTCAGTTCCCATATAATACAGAACTTCTCTAATTTTTAAAGTAATCTAATGTTTTTCAAGCTTTGTCGAGAGTCATAAAAACATGCTGTTACTCTAAAGAATCCACCAATTAAAGATGATATGACACTCTTAGTTAGAACAATCTTTTGGAACAAAGTTTTGGATTGTTGGTAAGCAGATATGGAGATTTGATTGGCTATTTAATAGACTATCTAGTTCAATAGTTACAGGTAGTCCTTGACTTACAACAGTTCATTTAGTGACCGTTTGAAGTTACAATGGCACTGAAAAAAATGACATGATCGTTTTTCACACTTACTACCATTACAGCATCCCCATGATCATGTAATCAAAATTCAGGTGCTTGGCAACAGACTCATATTTATGACGGTTGCATGTCCCAGTGTCATGTGATCACCTTTTGTGACCATCTGATAAGCAAAGCCAATGGAGCAGCGAGATTCACTTAACAGTTATGTTATGAACAACTGTTTTGATTCACTTAACAACTGTGGCAAGAATGTTGCAAAATGGGGCAAAATTCACTTAACAGTCTTGCTCAGCAACAGAAGTTTTGGGTTCAGAAAATAACTTAGCTAACACATGAACAGAGCACCATAGCACCACCATTAAACATACAAGTGTGAAAACCATAGAATTACATAAAGTTATAAGAAAAAGGCCAAATAAAATGAAATATCAATGTGTGCCAAGTACAGATTATAAAATATTGACTGTTGGATTAATCATAAATTTGCTGGAGAATAATCAACATCAAAATTGGTTGCAAAGAATTTTTTTGAATAAGAAATCTTAGAATGAGAATACACTTTTGTTCTATGTAACAGCCAGATAGTGAGGAAAAAATGGAATAATCCTCATGTTAAATTATACAGCTCCAGTTTTCTCCCATATAGTACAATCCAGTGAAAAAATGAGGTCAGCCCAATTTACTCTGTTAGGACTTATTCTTGAGAATTCCTCAGTGGGTTATGCCCAGGGGCTATGATCCCTAGAGAACTAAAGTGAGAAAAAACATATTCAAGAGGGGATTTATTTGTCCTTCATGAATGTTATCATCTTTTCCTTAGCAAATTGTAGAGATTATTCTAAACTTACTTGTTCAAAGAAATCAGCATAAAATACATTTAAAAGTGATGCAGTGCAATCAAGGAAAGAGACATGTGGGAAAAGGCAGCAGCAAATCCTGCTGCGTACGCGTAGAGGTATGCACCTGTATAAGAAGGCTCATTGGTTATGAGTTCATTGTGATTTTTTTTTCTGTTACCCATTTATGGACAAGAAATGTCATTATGGGATAGCAAACTTTTAAAAGTTGCAACAACACTGCTTTCCAAAGCAAGCAGGATTCCTTATGGGGAAAAAAAATTAGAATTCTGCAAAGTTAACCAACATGGAAGGCAGATTGCTTAATCTGATTGTCCTGCAATAAAAATGTGATTGCAATAAAAATCTGATTGTCCTGCAATAAAAATGTAATAATTCAGGTTGTCAAATTATTTCCCATTTGTTCATTATTAACCATTGTTAATCATGTGTCTGAAATAGGCTAATCTGAGCTTGGTCATGTATCAGGTGAGAACTCTGGATTGATTTGTTCAATGATCCAACAGTTTTCTTGCCTGTCCACTGTATTCTAAGGAATCTCCTCCAACATCAAAGTTCAAAGGCACCAATACTTTTCCTAGTCTGCTTATTTACCTTAACTTGGAACTGGCACATGAACAGCTTACTGTTCTGTTTCACAGTCATCACTTACCCATGGCTTTGAATTCAGTTTCTCCATCTCCTTTTAGCAGTAATAAAGTCAATTTTATTTGTATATACTCGTGATTGTCATGTACAGATGAATTATTTTATATTCTATACCCAGGACATCACTGTACAGGTAGCTTCTAACATTTTTCCCATTTAAGAAAAGAAACATGGAGCCTCTTAAAAATAGAGCCACTATACAGGTTTACCACCTGCTTGCAGAATAGCACAAGGTTGTCACAAAGCTACCTCTGTAAAAAAGCTGAATTTTGCATCACATCAGCCAGATACCTGTCTCTCAAGCTTAAAAATCAGAAAGGTTAAGCTGGGTGCTGCTGGGGCCTGAAGGAACAGGCTGAGTAACAGGCTGAGTCCCACGAATCTCAGTGTGGTTGAGTGGCTGAGTGTGAAGTAGGCCCAAAGCCTGCCAGCTGCAACAGCCTTGTGTGTGGCGGTAACTTTTGTAATTAGCTTGAGGCTCCTTAGGTGGCTGAGTGGCTGGGTGAGAAGCAAGCCCAAAGCCTAAGGAACGGGGTGGGGGGGGGGACTGAAGCAGGCCCAAGGCCTGTGGGGACCTCGAGGGGTGAGAAACAGAGCATGGGGTGCCTCAGGGGGTAGAGGAGGACTTGGGAAACCAGGGGCAGGGAAGCCTGGATCTATTCTAGGTCTCCCAGGGTCTGCCCTACCCCTGAGATAGTCTGTGCTTTGCTTAATTATCAATACAGTCACTTAATGTCTGCATTGGGGAGAGTGGAGTTTGGAGTCATTAAGTGAGGTGACCACGCAGGTGCCTCACTTAATAACCATCATGTAACCATAATGGGCAGGCTCTATTATGGCCATAACTTGAGGACTACCTGTATACAGCCCAACCCTGCTAGATTTCAGAAAAGCAATTAAAAGTTTATTTTCCAAACAGACCATGAAGGTCGGCATGTTATAATTTTTCCCCTTCTTCTAGTTTAGAATTTTATTTGAGTTTTTTAATTGTCACTGGTGTGTGTGTGTGTAGGATGATGTGCTTAGGTATTTTTAAACTTTAGTTATCAAATAGAATATGTAAATGGTCAGAAGCAGGAATAATTGGAATGGCATATAAGCCCAGAAGGCACATATACAAATAATGCATTACTTACAAGAAGTTTCAGTGATTAACCCACATCACAAAATGTTTTTATGCACCCATAGATGTACAATTTATACTGAGATCTAATGTTGGAAGTAAAGAATTCCCAACACAGTAAAATAATCCAGAGTGGCAGTGGCAGTGGGAAAACTTTGAATTGCCATGGGTTGCTCTTTTGGGGGGGGTTGATGTGCCATCTATGTGGCCCATAATAAGACCCAGTATTACCATGCTGCAGGATGACAATAGACTTATAGACAGAATTTATAAGGTAGCAGTAAAAGTAAGAGAATAGTTTCAGTCTCTGTACTATGCAGTTATTGAATCAATATCATGGAGAAATGGCCCATCACTATCATCTTCTCTATCTTACTCAGAACACAATCTTATTAGCAATGACCTCAGCAAGTAACAACATAGAACTAATTTCATCCTGGCTCAAAAACAAACGGCCTAGTTAAAACATAAATGGGAATTCCAGGACCACAGGCTAGATTGGAAAGTATTTTTTCCTCTCTCTCTCCAATTCCTGGAAGAAGGCAGTGGCAACCTATTTTGTATTTTTGCCAAGAAAATTGTGTGGATGTTTTACTGTCTCATCAATACTGCCTCTGAGATTGCCAGCAAATCACTGCTTCAAAACTCACACACTCAGCACCAGGTAAGAAAATGAGTAAATAAAACAAATTTTGCCATTCAGCTTTGACTCTTAGAAATTATTACTTGAAGAACACAAGAGTAAAAAGTTGATATCCTATCCTATCCACCCACGTTTGTCCCCGCATGTTTAGTTATTTTATTTTGTCCAACTATTTATACTGCCTGCTGTCTGTCAGCGGTTTTTACAATAAACAATAGTTTTGGCCATTAGGTTAAGAGTGGGCCCATAAAGATTTCCATCCTGAAAGGCTTTGAGACAAAAAAGAGAACAACAGAATCATGATAGGATAATCCCTCACTGCTTGGTAGCTTTAAAAAAAGTTGCCCTGCTACAAATTATTTCATGGGAGTAATGTTTTAAAGCCACTACTCCCAGTTTTTAGGGAATAAGCTTGTCCTAGCAGCTTGCATGTGAGCAGTAATAAAAATAAGATGGTGTGGGGAGGAAAAAAAATCCAGTAAACTATGGTAATAGCACTTTTAATCTTCTTCCTCTCCTTATAATAGTCTGTAGAGATTCTCAGTCATCCAGGTTGTGGTTGTCCCAAAGGTGCTTTTTCAGGAGGCAACTGGACTTTCTTGTTTTTTCTTTTGAAGACGTTTCCCTTCTCATCCAAGAAGCTTCTTTAGCTCTGACAGGATAGTGGGAATGGAAGGATTTTTATTCCTTGCAGGCAGCTGGTCATTTGCATCCTTTTAGAGGGTCACTGAAGCACTCCCCACTCTTCTGTCAGAGCTGAAGAAGCTTCTTGGATGAGAAGCAAAACGTCTTCAAAAGAAAAAACAAGGAAGTCCAGTTGCCTCCTGAAAAAGCACCTTTCTGACATCCAGGACCTGGATGACTGAGAAACTCTACAGACCTTTAGCTATACAATTTGGGATGAACACCCTTTGAATGGTGTGAGAGTAGGAATGGATTTCCAGATGAAAAATTGCAGACTACAGGAACCAGCTGCACTATTCAGGTGACCCTGAGGTCACAGATAAACTGTCCTCAGGGCACTTGGTGTCCTCACCAAGTGCTTCAATGACCCTCTAAAAGGATGCAAATGACCAGCTGTCTACAAGGAATATAAAACTTCCATTCCCCACTATCCAGTCAGAGCTGAAGAAGTTTCTTGGATGAGAAGCAAAACATCTTCAAAAGAAAAAACAAGGAAGTCCAGTAGTCTCCTGAAAAAGCACCTTTGAGTCTCCTTATAATAGTCTCTATGAAAGGAGAAAAGACCCATCTACACACGAAGAAGCAGTGCTGGTTTGTTTCTCCTCTGTTGTTTCATTGGTTCTGTTGGCTCCTATTACTTCTGTGCGGAGAGGAGAGGCCTAATACCACCAGGTGGATTTTATGCACTTTTTATTATACTATTATAGGAGTTTTATTACACTATGTAGTATCATATAGGCCTCTATAGTGTATAATGACATAGTCTTTTATCCTGCATAATACAGGTTCTTGGCCATGGGACTCAGCTTTAAAATTACATCACAAAAAGCCTTGAGAAGTTAGTAACATTCTAAGGTCAAATAAAATATTTGGCATTTATCAGGTGAACTACAGCAACTTCTATGAAATATGGTAAGCCCCATGGACTTATGTTTTCTGAAATGTAATCCATATTCTGAAAAAAACCCTGCCAAGTCTCCGAACATCTAACCTTGGACCAAGAATGCTTTTCAAGAAAGCATTTTTCTTTAAAGATGCATAAGACTTTTCTAAGAATATGAATTAACAAATACATTGCAAACAATAGTAATATCTTAGCCATCAATTTATATGACTTTTCTGCTAATTAAGTGAATTTTGAATAAACACAAAGCAAAGAGCAACATGCTATAGACATATAAATATCAATTTTCAAAATATCCTTGTATACCATTCACTAATTAGAAGATTGAATAGAAACAGCATTTTGTACCTGTGTCAAAGTTGATTCTTTATTTGTTGCTTTATTAAATTGAATAACTTTGCATTTTCTCCCATTTTTAACTCCATAGCAATTTTCTCTTATCTCTAGAGAAAAGGGTAAAAAATAAAAGGTTACTTACCATCAGATGATCATACAGTAAAATAAAGTTCATTTATATACATCAAAGAACCACTATTAAAGATGTCAGGGCCTAAAACATTAAATATTATCTTTGTTTACTAATACAATAATTAGAAATGAAAGCAAATGTGCTTTCTATCAAATTAATCTGCAATTTTGTATGAGTTTCCTGAGATAAATGGGAGCAGTTTAACCTTGGGGAAACTTCAACTCACATTCCTATCCTTAAAACTTGTTAAAACTTAAGTGAAAGAAATTCAGCAACACCCAGTCTCTAATAGCATTACCAATGGCTTCCTGCAGCCTTTTGTAAGGTCAGGATGATCAGTTGCAGCTTTCAAATTTTAAATTCATTTCATTTCATTTTCATTTTTTTAAATTTATATACCGCCCTTCTCCCTGAGGACTCAGGGCGGTGTACAGCCAAGATAAAAAACATAGGATACAAATATTAAAACATTTAAAAATATATATAAATTTTGGCCCAAAAGTTAAGAATCACAGACTAATTAAAAGAATTTAAAAATTTTAAAATTTTAAAAATTTCTTCTTAGGCCAACCCGGCTTGTTGAAAAAGATGGGTTTTCAGGGAACGACGGAAGGCATTGAGGTCCTGGATTCTTCTTATCTCCGGGGGCAACTGATTCCAGAGGGTAGGAGCCCCCACAGAGAAGGCCCTCCCCCTGGGGGCCACCAGCCTACATTGTTTGGCTGATGGCACCCTGAGGAGGCCCTCTCTGTGGGAGCGCACGGGTCGGTGGGAGGTCGTCGGTAGCAGCAGGCGGTCTCGGAGATAGCTAGGCCCTATGCCATGGAGCGCTTTAAAGGTGATAACCAACACCTTGAAGCGCACCCGGAAGACCACCGGGAGCCAGTGCAGCTCGCGCAGGAGCGGTGTTACATGGGAGCGCCATGTTGCTCCCATCACTACCCGCGCTGCTGCATTCTGGACCAGCTGGAGCCTCCGGGTGCTCTTCAAGGGGAGCCCCATGTAGAGAGCGTTGCAGTAGTCAAGGCGAGAGGTGACGAGGGCGTGAGTGACTGTGCACAAGGAATCCCGATCAAGAAAGGGCCGCAACTGGCGAATCAGGCGAACCTGATAAAAGGTCCCCCTGGTAACAGCCGTCAGATGTTCCTCCAAAGACAGCTGCCTATCCAGGAGGACTCCCAGATTGCGAGCCCTTTCAGTGGGGGCCAAAGACTCGCCCCCAATAGTCAGTGATGGAGTCAACTGACTATATCGGGATGCCGGGAGCCACAGCCACTCAGTCTTGGAAGGGTTGAGCCTGAGCCTGTTCCTCCCCATCCAGATCCGCACAGCCTCCAGGCACTGGGACATCACTTCAAGGGCATCGTTGGGGTGGCCTGGGGTGGAAATGTACAGCTGGGTGTCATCAGCGTACTGGTGGTATCTCACCCCAAAGCCACGGATGATCTCGCCCAGCGGCTTCACATAAATGTTGAACAGAAGGGGCGAGAGGACCGATCCCTGCGGCACTCCACAAATGAGAGGCCTCGAGGTCGACCTCTGCCCCCCTGCCAACACAAACTGCGACCGGTCGGAGAGAAAGGAGGAGAACCACCGCAACACGGTGCCTCCCACCCCCAACTCTTCCAGCCGGTGCAGCATGATACCATGGTCGATGGTATCAAAAGCCGCTGAGAGATCTAATAGGACCAGAACAGAGGAGTAACCCCTGTCCCGAGCCCTCCAGAGATCATCCGCCAACGCGACCAATGCCGTTTCCGTGCTGTGCCCAGACCTGAAACCCGACTGGAACGGATCTAGATAGGATGTTTCCTCCAGGAATTGTGGAAACTGTTGCGCGACCACACTCTCAACAACCTTCGCAATGAAGCGAAGGTTGGAGACAGGACGATAGTTAACCAATATTGCTGGGTCCAGGGACGGCTTCTTGAGGAGAGGCCTCACCACCGCCTCTTTCAGGGCAGCGGGGAAGTGACCCTCACTCAACGAAGCATTAATGACGCCCTGGAGCCAGCCTCGTGTAACCTCCCGGGAAGCCAGTACCAACCAGGAGGGACACGGGTCCAGTAAACATGTGGCCGCACTAAGTCTCCCCAAAATCCTGTCCACATCATCGGGAGTCACAGCATCAAACTCCTCCCAGATAACATTCTCAAGACTGTTCCTCGTCACCCTGCCCTGATCTACCCAGTCAGAGTCCAAATCCCCTCGGATCTGAGCGATTTTGTCATACAGGTATTGTCCGAAATCCTCCGCCCTGCCTTCTAAGGGATCCTCCCGCACTCCCAGATGGAGCAGGGCGCGGGTCACCCTAAACAGGGCGGCCGGACGATTCCCTGATGACGCAATAGAGGCGGAAAAGTAGTTAGACTTTGCCGTCTTTATCGCCACTAGGTAGGTCTTAATATGCGACCTTACCAGTGTTCGATCAGATTCAGCGAGACTGGCCCTCCAACCGCTCTCCAGGCGTCTTTTCCGGCGCTTCATTTCCCTCAGCTCCTCAGTAAACCAAGGAGCCGCCCGGGATCGGCATCGGGTCAGAGGCCGCAAAGGCACAACTCTGTCCAAGGCCCCACCAGCCGCCCGATCCCAGGCGGCTACCAGGTCCTCGGCCGAGTCATGTGCTAGATCCTCAGGAAATGGCCCAAGCTCCGTCTGGAACCTATCAGGATCCATCAGGCGCCTGGGGCGGATCCATCTAATTGGGTCCGCCTCCCTGCGGCGAGGGGTCGCGGTTCGAAGATCTAGGCGAAGGAGTGAGTGGTCAGTCCATGACAAGGGTTCCATGTCTATATCCCCTATAACAAGACCACTCAACCACTGGCCAGAGACAAAAATCAAATCCAGAGTGTGACCTCCCCTGTGAGTAGGGCCGTGAACTAACTGGGTCAGGTCCATGGCCGTCATGGAAGCCATGAACTCCCGAGCCACCTCAGACGTTTCACCGACGGATGGCAAGTTGAAATCACCCATGACTAAAAGCCTGGGTGTATCTACTGCCACCGTGGCTATCACGTCGAGTAGCTCAGGTAGGGCTGTTGCCACGCGGCAGGGAGCCAGGTACGTAAGCAACAAGCCCATCTGAACCCCACGGCCCCACCTCACAAGGAGGGACTCACATCCGGCTATCTGAGGCACAGTGGTCTCCCTCGGATCCAGATCCTCGTTAATAATAACCGCCACCCCCCCGCCCCTCCCCTGGGCCCTCGGCTGATGGAATGCTCTGAAGCCTGGTGGACACATTTCAACCAGAGGGACGCCACCCTCCGGGCCCAACCAGGTCTCCGTAATACCCGCCAGGTCCGCTCCTCCCTCTTGTATAAGATCGTGAATGAGGGGGGCCTTATTAACCACGGACCTGGCATTGCATAACATCAGCCGAAGGCCCAGATCCTGAGTGTCTAAGCCACCTAGTCTCCGAGAGGAGCCATGGGGACCGGGGCACGCAATTGCTCTCAAACAGCGAGTGCGAGCCCCCAACACATGATATGGTCCTCTGCTCCCGCCATATCTGCCCCTCCCATCTACCGTGCAGATGGTACAGACCTCATAGGTATCGTCCCCCATCTCTTTCCCAGTCCCTCGACCAACACCTCCCAAATCGTTACCCTGTGCCGGGCTCGGCTCTGACCCTGGTGGATTTCCCCCCCCATCCCCCAGAGTCTTCTTCCCAATTTCTCTAGAAAGATCATTACAAACCCCCCTCCCAGAACCCCTTAAAATCTTTAAAAAATTCCCTAAAAAACCCCACAAATTCTTCCTTGCTCCATGCCATCTCTCTGGACTCCAAAGTCCGTCATCGAGATAGGCCCTCGATAATGTGGAGGGCCAAACCTGCGAGAGGGGAGAATCTCGCAGGGCAAGGAGTTCCGACACCGAATACATATCATCATCAGGGGAGACAAAGTCCAAGGGAAGGGAGTACTGCTGATGTTACAGGCATAGGGAAAAATTCTAGTCCATGGTTAGGCCATCAAGCCCATTGTCCTCTCACGACAATGGCCAAGGAGGTGCATATCCTTCGACCCCGGAGGTTTCCAGGGCAGCCATGCTCTCACCTAGGCCACCTATGGAAACTCTGATGGAAATCCGGGCGTGGGGATAGCCATAGTCCGCCTCCCACTGGCATTATGTCCATAGAACCAGTATCCCTCCTGGGATTAGTAGCATCCGGGAGACCAAGTATCCTGCTCAGAAGGAGGTTTAAGTTCGTAAATTCACATCGAAGAGATTTTACATGGCAGGGAGTTCAGACAGGCTAGATGTAAAAGGGGGAAATTCGGAATAATTCAGCAGGCCAAAGTAGATGGGTAGTTGTAACCGTAGTAAGGCCCATAGGCCTAAACTCGGTCCAAAGGATGGAAGAGGGAGGGGAAATTCAAGCCGCATAGGTTTGTAGTTCTTTTCCGACCCCTGTAAATCCCTCAACCATTATCTGATGGATAATGCTGCCCAATTTCGTTCCCCCCCCCCATCCAGCTTGTCCTGGGGGGGGGGGTGTCTCTGGGTCCCCATGGAGGTAACCCTTCCCCCAAGGGTCCAACACTCTCCAATCTCCCAGAGCTAAGTCTAAGGCTGCTGCTGAAGAATCCTATGCTGTAATTCAGGTCCGCAAGCCGCTGGGAGCCGCCCCGACATCAGCTGCCATCACCGCCGCCGCCGCCGCCGCCGCCGCCGCCGCCACCATCGTCGCCGTCGCCATCGGCCTCCCCACGGACGCCCCCAGCCGCCCCCTGCCTCTAGATCTTCCTCAAGGCATCCAGGGGCGTGGGGAACCTCCGTAGGGGCCTCAAACGTCGCCGTCATCAGGGGGCCGCCACCGCCGCCGCCGCGACCGCCCGTAGCCACCGGTGCTAGTGCCGCCCCCGCAGGCCGCATCCTGCACGCCCTCACCCGCCAGCGCTTCAACGTCGTCCTCCTCGGAGCTGGGGTGGTCCGGAGAGCTAACAAAGCTCTCAATGGGATCCCCAGGTA